TTTACAAAACAGGCTGGAAGCTAGTGAGTGATTTAACCAAACAGACAGTAGGCTCAGGACTGGAACTCAAACCTCCTTACCACCCAGACCAGGGTCCTGAGAGAAAGACATGAATAAATGCATAGACTGGGATGCCTTAGAACACAAGGACAAGAAATTATGTAATTTTACCAACTTACAATGGAGCACCGGCTAATGAGGGCTTTGGAATTGGAGAGCCCGGCTCAAATCCTACTTCTCCACTAACTAGGCAAATTAGTGACCCCTCTAAGCCCAGGAAAAAGAGAATAATCATTATTATGATAGCTAATGTTTATTGAAAACTTGCTATAGGTTCTCTTGTTTTAAGCACATTACATATATGGGCCTTAAATTCTACCTTGTATGTCTAGAGGTTTAATTCAGATAATATATCTTAAGGCCTTAGCCCAGAACATTCTCAATAAATGTAGTATTATTTAGTCAAGAATATAGGTATTATATCTCTATTAATGAAATGTATGGGGCAACCTTAATTATTAACATAATCAAGTGAACTATTTCTTTAATTATGATGAATAAAATTCAAATTTTAAAGTTACATAGTGAGTGAATACTCTCATCAAAGCTCTCTTCAAAATATTTCTTCTAAAGCACTGAAAGAGTTAGGTTTCATTTTAAATTCCACTTCTTTTTTCTGCCATTTCTATTTCCTCTGAAGCAAAGACGTACCATAGAGAAGACACTCAGTATCCCAGGGGTATGGACTAGCCAAACAGGCAGTCTTTCTAGCATTTTCCACCGAGTAAGCAGATCCAAAAAGCTGTTGACTTTCCTCACTGCTAGGATAGGACAGAACAAGTTCTTTGCATATTTTCAGTTATTATTTACTTTAAAAATAGGTACAAAAATACCCTTAAAGTAGAAGACTTGACAGATTCATTGTTCTGCCCTCATTTCTCTGTTGAAGACTTCTTCAAAATGCAGGAGAAATCCGGCAAGTTAGCCAGCTGTTGTCTCCATCGGCCTCGTCATGAGGCAGTGTCTGTCACAGCTTTGGGCATTTCACAGTGGGAGGTGACAGGCTGAGGCCTTTGGGTATCTCCATCTCTGCCTCTCAGTGTTTCACCAGAAAAACATGCCAAGCCAGTTACCACTTTCTGAAAGACCCAAGTGACTTGTGTCTGAACTCTGTCCCCTTCCTAAGGCTGACCTTGGACAAAAATAGTTCATATGCTCTGATAAATGACAGTTGCTTCCTTTTGTTGACATATTTTGTTGCAACCATAATTCTATGTGCTTTGAATATATAAAAAGTAGAATACGTCCAGTGGCTACTTTTTGAGGAGTGAGCTTTGAAATAACTAAGAAGTGATTATAGTCAGAGTGTTTATTATACTGCACAGTAAAGTATAGTTAACTAGTATGTTCATTTGATGCCTCCATTTTAAGTCTCTAACGTTCTTATGGTTCAGAATGAAGGAAAACTTGTTTCACTCATGGGTGTTCTAAATTTTAAAGATCACAGAAAGGCAAAGAGCAGAGGCATGACAATATGGGTTTCTTTCAGTGTTAACACAAATAGATGTAAAACCATGTTTTTCTTTGAGAAATTCAGTACTGATAATATTTGCCAAGTGGATTAATTTAATTATTATAATTTACATTACAAAATGTTTCTTCTCCTTAAAAGTGTCACTTCAGAATTTCACTCATGGAAAACAGCTCTAAAATGGAGGTCCATAGGGGTGCCTGGGTGACTCAGTTTGTTGGTGTCCGACTCCTGATTTCAGCTCAGGTCATGATCTCAGGATCATGAGATAGAACCCCACATCATGGAGCCCGCTTAAGATTCTCTCTCCCCCTCTACCTCTACCCTTCCTGCTCATGCTCTCTCTCTCTTAACAAAAAAAAAATGGAAGTCCATAAGAAGGCATAGCTATATTAACAAAAATGAGATGTCCATAACTTTTGAGAAACATACCCCAAATTAGAGTCATTTTGCATGGGTTATGGAAGGCAGCATAATTAAATTATTTCACTTAAAGGCCTTGGTAACTTCAAAACCAAATCCAAAGCCAGTTTCTGAGCAACTTGGGAAAGAAACTCAAATCTCTCTGAGCCTCAAGATCTTCACCTTCAAAAGAACAATTTCTGTGAAGATCCTTATCTTTAAAATAACTTCTACCTTGTAGCATTGCAATAAGGATTAAATTAAAAGGTAAAAAAAAAAAGATAGAAAAATTTAGCACATTTTTCCAGCACATTCTAAGCATACAAAAAATAGTAGCTGTAACTATTAATACTACAAAATGCAGAACCAAAATCACACCTTAGATTAGAATATTTGCTAAAGACAATTTGTCTTCACAGATCTGAAATGCTTTCAATCCACTAATTTCAAGTGAAAGCATTCAATTTTCTATTTCCCTTTGCAGTTCATTACAAATAGTAATCGTGAAAAGAGGATAACCTGCTATCTGCATGCCACAGTGTATGACACTTGTCATCTCTCTGAGTAGTCAGTGATCCTACTAGGTGAGTATTATTTTCTCCTTCCACAAGTGTGGAAGCTGAAATCAGAATTAAAGTCAGCTGCCCAAATAACCTTGGTAGAATAACCATTAATTACTAAGCTAGGATTTCAACTCAGACCACTCGTGTGCATGTTCTTAAACTCTTATTCCATGCTGGAAGTGAAAGTGATTAGCAGTGAGGAGTGGGGTGGACCAAGAGCCTTTTTCTACTTTAAATAAAGTGAGTCTAGATTAATAGTTCTCAATTTTGGAGGGTTGGAATTGAAATTCCCTTACACTATAAAAAAAGTATTGGGGACCTCACAAAGCTTTTGTTTATAGGGGTTATACTTTCTGACATTTTTCAAATTATCAATTAAAGCTAAGAAAGGTTTTTTATTATTTATTTTAAAATAATAATTTTTATTTTAAAAATACTTTGAAAACAGTAATAAACACATTACATGTTAATATGCATATTTTTAAGTTTTATTTAAATTCCAGTTAATTGACATACAATGTAATATTAGTTTCAGGTGTACAATATAGTGATCGAACACTTCTGTTCAACACCTGATGTTCATCATGACAGGTGCACTCCTTCATCCCCATCACCTATTTTACCCATCCCCCCACCCCCACCCCTCTGATACTCATCACTTTGTTCTCTATAATTAAGTCTATTTCTCGATTTGTCTCTCTCTTTTTCCCCCTTTACTCATTTGTTTTGTTTCTTAAATTCCACATGAGTGAAATCATATGGTATTTGTCTTTCTCTGACTCACTTATTTCGCTTAGCATTATACTCTCTAGATCTATCCATGTCGTTGCAAATGGCAAGATGTCATTCTTTTTTAGGGCTAATATTCTGTTGTATGTATACCACATCTTCTTTATTTAAAAAATGGCTAAAATGAACAACACAGGAATTAATATGCATGTTTTTTATGTAAAATAAAAATAGTTTTTTAGAAAAAAACTCTTTTAGTGAGAAGAGGAGTGACTTCATTTTACAGTTTTAGCAAATCTCCTTAATGTCCCACTTGACATTGGGCAACCAGACTCTGCTGTTGGCTTCTGTATGAGGCCAAGTTGTGCCCTGACATCTGGCGTGGGTCCTGGAGAACTCCGCAGGAAACTTAAGAGACCATGACAGTGAAATGGACAAATAAAGTCTTCCTGTTATTATAAAAGTAGTTTGACAGCTGGCATCCCTGGAAGACCTCGGGGACCCCTGGGGGCCCAGCCTGTGCTTTGAGAACCACAGTTTAGGTAAAATCTGCAAGAGAATCGAGAAGCTCTGTCACCAACTTTAGTCCACGATCATAGTCCAAGTTCATCATTCAATTACCTGCTTGTCCACTATGTGGCTCTTTGTACTATTCTAGAAAAGGATGATAGAAATCTGTCATCTCTAGTAATAACAAAACTGAGTGGGAAAAGATTTAAAAGCAGTAATATTTCTCAGCAAAAACAAAAAGTATTATGGAAAGATGTGTCATAATTATATTTGGTTAACTCACACTGAGACAAAAATTCATGTGTTTTTATCTTTACAGCATAAGACAATCCTTTGTTATACAGATGAAATGTAATTGAAGTGTCATTCTATTTTGTGGCAATAACCAAACTGATTAAATCTGTTCTATTGCTTAAGTGAAGGTAGTGAGTCAAATATTAGCAGATGTGCACCCTAATAAAGTAGAGGACCCCAGGAGAGCATTGGAAATCTCACATAAGATGGGAAAAATCTTATACACTGTTTGGGTAATGTTAAAACACATTAGAATTTGAATTGTTTGGTTATTCATGAGATTGCATCTTCAAAATACCTTGTCTCAGAAATATAATTTTTCTTCCTTGCTTTAAAATCCAAGCCCAGAAACCAGCCATTTGTTAATCATAATTGGGGTTTTTTTTTGATTCATGTATTCAAATTTGTTTTGCTTTACTGTACTGTTTTGACATGGAAAATGATTGTCATGATGCACTTTACTTATTCTTAATAATTTTTAAACTTAACATAGTACCTTAGGTATTCTGTAAGAATTGAACCCTATTTCACAGACATGTTGGCAAAGCTAAAGCTGAAGGAATATCATTTCAGTAGCAATATTGCACCAAAAGGAAAAACACTTTTTTTTAAGATTGAAAATATTCATAGAGTGCACTAGCACTAAAATGAACTTTGATCCTCATTATCAATTGAACCATCCCCCAAAATAATCATTTGAAGTTTCCACACATTGGACATCACTGAAGTTTCCAGATGTTGGATTTGATGACAGAAGAAACATCAGTATTAACATCAATGTATTCCTCTAAAACCAGCTCCTGGTTGAATATTTTACACATTCTAGAGGTGCTATTATCATGCAAGTTTTTTTCCAGTATCCAGATGCTCTGAGGTGAAGAAAACATCTAAGGTTCTTCAGAAAAGAGCTGCTTGTTGAAATAGAAAGCCTGGCCGTGTAACACTAAGAAGGTTTTCTCCATTCCCTCCAGGTTCTTTGCAGCAACAGCCTGCTCGAGTCTACAGACTACTGGCTACAGAATCAAAGGACGCCTTGCCAGATTGGTTTTGTGGAAGACAAGTCTGAAAACTGTGCTACCGTAAGTAAACACAACTCTCAGGGTCTACTTTGAGAAAGCAGGGAGTCCGGCACGTGTGCTCATGCTAAAGATGGAAGTTTCATAATTCATTAAATACAAGCTTAGGAAAGTATTGTTTCAGAAAATGCATAACTGGTTTGCACAGACCGTTAACAAAATAGCATGCTGAGCTCATGTTTCTACTCTCATTTTGCTCATTTCAGTGGGTAAATTAACCTGATCAATTCTCTGAAAAGGAAAAATGATGTTTATATTTTCAAAACTGACTGAGAAAACGATTCAGATATAGAACTGTGTGATGAGAAATAAGAGACCATTCAAGAGCCCTCTTGGATTCTTTTCAATATATTTTATAACTGCTGCTAGTGGGTTATTTTCCAACACGAAAATTGTGTAAAAATGTTCTACCATTCTTATAAGTTATAGTCATCATCTGAAAACCTTTAAACCTAAGAAATGTACAGGCATGCATTTTAATATACTGGAGCTAAGCTTTACATACAAAACCTTTTTCAAGGAAGAAATGTTCTTATAAACAAAATTCTTATCGTAATATGTGGGTACATATTGACATGAGAAATCAACAATATGATTTCTTTTTCCTGTTCAAAGATGCTCTTTCCTGTATGTTCTACAAAGCGATATGTTTCATTTTAATTGAAATCACCTCACCCTTATGGGGTCATAATTAGAGAGATTGGGGAAGAGTATTTCCAAAGCGGAGAGAAATGTAATTCTCATGACTAAACTGAGAACTTCAGCTCTGAGCTATTCTTGGAGGTAAGTTGAATGCCAGCATTTCTGTTAAAAGAAAAAAAAAATTAAAACAAAAAAAGAAGGAAGCTGAAAATGGGATGAAGAAGCTTTTTATATAAAATGGGCAGAACTAGAACTGGCAGACAGAGGATGTAAAACATTTCACACCGCAGAGTCTCGTCGCACAGGGAAAGCAGAGTCCATTCAACAGACTTATTTCAATCTCTTTGTTTAGGCAAATGATTTTAATCCCACTACATTTAGGACTTTTAATCCCTTATCCAGATAACTGGTTGCTGTCTAAAAATCTTTGGGGAAAACAAAAAGGATTAGGAGGCAAGTAATTTAATAGTGATACCTCCTGTGCAAATTTACTTCTGAGGTAAGTTAGAAAATGCAGACATTTGTGGATACAGAATTCTAATCACACAGCTGTCCATTGTAAAAGGGAGAAAAATGGAGCGTAAAGGCTTTCCAGCTACATTCTGGAAAAAAATTGTCCTCCAAGCAGCTCCTGTATTAAGAAGTCTCCCACTTGGAGGCGCACCTGGGTGGCTCAGTCTGTTAAGCGTCGGACTCCTGATTTCAGCTCAGTGGTGATCTCAGGGATGTGAGAGGGAGCCCTGAGTTGAGCTCCACACTCAGCTGGGAGTCTGCTTGAGATTCTCTTCCTCTGCCCCTCCCCCCAACTCTCTCTCACAAATAAATAAATAAAACCTTTAAAAACCAAAGGCTCCCATTTGGAGAAAGCATGAAAGTTGGGGCACTAAAAATTGTGTAGTGGAGGGCAAAGAGGTCTTCTTGAAACTTTCTGTTTTTGGAATCTGGATTAGAACTCTGCAATTAGAAATGTTTAATTTATAGCCAGATTCAAGATTACCATTGGATCTCCCTAAGTGAAGAGAACTCTCCTCCCACTCCCCACCAATCCCAATGGATTCAAATTTGGAGTTAAAACCATATGATTTCCTTCCTTAATTCTTGGTCCCTTTATAGTGTCTGATGACATCAGTGAGGTTGAGCTGATTCATCCTGCCTTTACAGTTCTTTCTATTCTTTCCAAAAGGGGAAAAATTCTAAAACTAATAAAAGGCATACTGGAAGATTTTTTTTCCCACGATGTTTATAAAAATTGTCCATGACTCTAAAGCTAAAAGAAATTTCAAAATCTCTATGGCAAAGTTGCCAGCCCCCAATCTCTCCAAAGTATCCTTTAGTCCCATTTTCTTAAAGTGGGAGTCCTTTCTCTCTTTCTGAGTTGGCACAGATTTCTAGGGTGAGAAGAGAAAACAGAGTCCAGAGTTAGACATTGCTGGAGGGAAGCAATTCTAGAGGTGAAATAGAGGTGAAATAGAGGTGAGCTATGGAGATCAGGACCAGGACCTCTTAATCAAACAACAATACATAGGGAGTGGCCAAAATGGTCAGGGTTTTGGGGTTTTGTTTGTTTTAAGATTTTACTTATTTATTTGACAGAGAAAGAGAGAGCACAAGCAGGGGGAGCAGCAGGCAGAGGGAGAGAGAGAAGCAGACTCCCCGTTGAGCAGAGAGCCCCATGTGGGGCTTGATCCCAGGACCCTGGGATCATGACCTGAGCTGAAGGCAGCCGCTTCACCAACTGAGCCACCCAGGTGCTCCTGGGTTTTGGGGTTTTTTGGTGTGTTTTTTTTAAGGTTTTATTAATTCATGTACTTAATTGCCTTTCAAAAACAAATTCTCCATAGCAGGATGAAAGTGAAAGGTATAATTTAAGGGAAAAATTATTGTATTTTAAAATAATATCTTTATTCAAGTTTCATTTAAAAATTCAGTTTAATAAAATCATTTTTTCAGTTTGAAAAAAATCTCTTTTCAAATAACCAGAACAGAATCTGAGTAACCTGTTACAATATTGGCTCATATTTTATCACTTTGTACTCTGTTCATAGCTCTTGTGTTAATCGTTGCTTTTTTAACTGATTTCTTCCCTATCAAAATTAGCAGCCAACTTTTTGAGAACCAATTTTGATTGGCTTGGGATCCAATATACTGAATTCCAAGTGTCTGGACTTGTAGTTTTTTAGAACTAAGAACCTCAGCGTACCAACATTTTCTGAATTCGAGATGTCCACTTAAAATTTTTACTGATGGACAAACTCTGACTTGGAAAACCTTCAGGGTGTGGTACTCCTGGGTCAGTATGACTGTTTGTTCTCAAGCATCAAGTGAAGAGTTTTTTTAGTTATTATTTCAATAGAGAACTGCATTCATTTCACAGCTAAAATGAAGAGCCTTAATGAAGAGTAGTTTGAAGTAGTCAGAAATATGATAGGCACACCAAACAGGAACAGCTTGCCAGGAAGTCTGGCTCGAGAAACCCCCTAAAAGTCACCCTTAAAAGTTTTTCACTAGGTATCAAATATAAACAATTTGCTTATGTTTTCCTAAATAACATTCTCTTATCAAACTTCATTTTCTTTCTAATTTGCCATTCTGAAAAAAAAAAAATTAATACACTAACCTTAACCTTCAGGGTCTTTTTTTTTAACCTCATTTTTTTTTTTAAAGATTTTATTTATTTATTTGAGAGAGAGAGAGAAAGAGCGAGCAAGGGGAGGGGTAAAGGGGAAGAGAGAGGGACAAGCCAACCCAGAGCTGAGTGTGGAGCCCAACAATGGACTCCATCTCACAACCCCAAGATCATGACCTGAGCTGAAATTAAGAGTTGGACGCTTAACCAACTGAGCCATCCAGGTGCCCCTAACCTGATTATTTAAAAGAAGGAAGTGTGGAGAATGGTAATGGAATTGGAAGCCAATTTCCAAACCCAACAGCTGAGACATTATCTTAATAGAGGTCCTTAACACAAGGGGTAGGAATTGGACTTTTCAAGTCTCTTGACTTTTTTTTAAAATTAAAAACTGATTTAGTTTCTTTTTAAAGGTATATTTTTTTAAGATTTTATTTATTTATTTGACAGAGAGAGACACAGCGAGAGAGGGAACACAAGCAGGGAGAGTGGGAGAGGGAGAAGCAGGCTTCCTGTTGAGCAGGGAGCCTGATGCGGGGCTCGATCCCAGGACCCTGGGATCATGACCTAAGCCGAAGGCAGACGCTTAACGACTGAGCCACCCAGGCGCTCCTAAATTCTTTAATTTTAGACTTACAGAAAAATTGCAGGAATTTCTAGAATTCCCAGGTTCCCCATATATTTGCTTCTCCTTCCCTTTTGTGTGTGTATATGCATCTATAAGTGTCCATATAGCATTTTTTTTCTAAAACTTTTGAGAATGATTTGCAGACACAATGCCCCTTTATCCCTACATACTTCAGTGTGGAACATAAATATTTAAAACCAGGATTGAACCCAGAGCTGCAGAAACCCTTGTTCAGGCTACTAATTTGGTACCAACTGCACAATAATGTTCTTTAAATATTTATTCTACAATTTTCAAGGAGAAACTAAATGTTGCCCCCATAAAAGTGAAAAACCAAATGCTGGCAGTGGAAGTCAGCTAGACTGAGCAGAACGAAAGCCCCGTATTTAAGTGGACCCAGTCTCAGGAGACAGTACGCTGTCAGGTTGCCCACATGAGAGGGAGCTCTCAGCCCTCAGCCCTGGTAGATTATTCCTGCCAACTTCATCCAGGACTGCTCTTGAACAGAAGTTTTGGTAAGTTACATGTCTTCCATGTTGATTTCCAGGGCTTTGGGTACCCACCCCCCACCATTGATTGGTCCAGAAGAACTTTTTGGAGGCTTGCTTCTGAGTGCCGTGGAGCAGAAGCCCACAAGTGGTCTGTGTGGCCTCACCTTGCCCTGGGCAGTAGCTCCTGAGGCTCCTTGGGAAACCCATGAGTCCCAGGGAAAATTTTTGACTCTCAATGAAAAAAAGTTCCACTAAACTTTGCCAAGCCTCTAGAAGCCAATAAATGAGAAAGAACACTTTGTGATAAAGCATGACACAGAGGGGTGGTAGAGAAAAGAGCCACCCACCAAAGCAACTAGGCGGCTCTAAATCCATGAGGTCACGTGCAAGAAACTGACACCTAGAAACATGATAAATAAAACTGAATAGAGCTTTTGATACAACGTGAGGGCGACACCTACGGTGTGTGGACAAATAGTACAGTAGTAATGTGGGTGTAGACATTAGACCTAGTCTGAACATTTATCAATGCCATGGATCCTGAAACTAAGAGGGAGTTTTTACAAGTTTATTTTAATTGAAAATTGAGTTCATGTTCTATCGCTTATGTTACAGG